TTTCTTTAGTAACCGACTAAATTTGTCTTTTGAATATAACTGAGTAAAACGAGCCATGATTATTAGTTTGAATCGAATGAAATCTGTTAAATATATTAAACCATTTATTTTTTGTCTTTAGGGAATAATTTAATTTGGAAAGAAATAGAATTACCAAAATATGATGATAATATGGGGTTGAGTCCAAGCAAATCAAAAAGTTTAAAAATTGAGATTTTTTAATAAAATAATAGAATTCAATATGCTGGTTATTTTTAATTAATAATGAATTTTGATTAGCATAATAAAATTTTAAGATATTGAGGTTTGCGCTTATGGTTGCACAAAGATTGCTAGCTCCAAAAGATGACAAGATCGGTTGCATTAAATTATTTCATGGATCAAAGGACGATAAAAAAGGATTTATGAAAAAGGTAATAGAATAGATAATATCTATTTAAATAAGATTGATAAATTATTAACTATCATAATTTCCTTTATTATCTTTTTGAAGTTAAAGACATATTGTGATATTCGTAATAAAAATCCTGCCTTTTTAAAATGTTATGGTATTTCATACATAACATTTCTAAAGATTATATTCTCGTTATAGATATGCAAAAAAGGTTTCATTGCGCAAAAATATTTAGTCGGTAGCACGAATGAGATGGAAAAAAAAGTTAAATCTTTTACTATGCTATGCATTGTTTCAGATCTTCAGAAAATTCATTCTCAAAATCTTATTTGCAATATTTTATTGAATAACCTAGATCATGCGTATATTGTAGATTTAGGACTTTCAGAATCAATTAACAAATGTGATAGTATTTGTGGAATTTTACAAAATATACATCAGCATCCGATATCTATTCATTTGGCATGATAATGTGGGAAATTTCTTCGGGGAGATTGGCATTTTCAGACAAAGCTAATGATTTAGGATATTCTATAAAATAGGTGGGCAATATAAGAAATAAGCTTCACTAATGATTAGTAATCATTAATTTTTTAATATATTCAGCGGAGTTAGCGGAGTTTGCCCACCTATTCTATAGAACATACATTGAACTTATGAAAAGATGCTGGGATAATAATACAGAGAGACGCCAAACAACATCGGGAATTTATAAAATTATTCAATCCTGGAAAAAAGATTATGAAAATTTTAATGATTCAAATAATATAATATTTAATATTAATGAATCAGAAACTATTCATCCTCAGACAGTTTATATAAACAGACTTATTGAATTGGATTCTATATATCTTAAAGCAGTTTCTGCAAACAAGGTCATTAACAATAATGACCAAATTATAGAAAGTCAAAATAACAAATATCTTGAATCTGAAGGAGTAATAGCATTAGTAGATGCACATTACAAGAATACCACACTATATGTACTGTATTGTATAGAAAAGCTTATTTTGAAAAATAAAATATTAAATTTATAAAAATATAATAGATATTTCTAATAAGCTAACCTGAATTCAATTTGTCAGCGAAATGGCTGTTAGTGAAACGGTTTTCCGGTGAACTTAGTTTACACCCATTGTAAAACCTATATTTTATATTAATTTCAGATAATTTGGGAACTATATAAAGTATTCTGTAAAGTAGTTTACAAATTCTAAATTCTTAAAGTTTAATAATTCCTACTGTTTTACATAACAAAATAAAAAAGATAAATTTGGATTCAATATTCGACCAGTTCAACATGATATATATTCTGGGTTTTCTAAAGTCATGTCGCCCAGACAAAAACAAAGAAAAAAATAGAAGAAATAAGTGTCTAAGCCTATCTCGGAGAAATAATAAAAAATGTTGGGACGCCAATTTTATTATCACCTGCTATAACCCCTTAATTAATAATTAAAAATTTTAATTAAAAAAAAAAACTTTTTAAAAAGAGTTTAACAAAAGTGAGCTTCTTAATAATAAAAAAGATTTTAACGCAATCATCAATATTGACGAAACCTCAAACTCTAAAATACTTTACTTTTTTTTTGGATATAAAATCATTATAAGGTTGGAGCACCATAAGTTTTCTTTGTAATGGTCATAAATTATAGTTTTAATGTATTATAATTAATTAAAATTAAAGAATTGGTTTGAAAATGCAATAATTCAACAATCATTCCTATTAAATTCCTCTTAAAAGGATAAGTTTATATCGATTGACTATTTTCAAATTAAAAAATAAAAAATAAAAATAACTGACCGAGTCTATTTTAAGTTTCATATTAAGAAAACCAATAAATTTTTTTTTTAAATGTTATTTAATGTTTGTATTACACTCTCAACTATATATCTTTTCAGTTCAGTTTTAGTAAAAAAAATTTATTAAATTTACTAATTCTATTGTTATTTACAGGATTGATCTAATTCAGCTAAAATTCTTTTCAACTACCAATGCACATTAAAGATAAATTAAAATATTCAACTACAAATTAGATGTTAAGCTGCTGCTATCCAAATGCTAACGACCCATAACAATTTATATTTACTCAAATATAATCATTTGAAAAAATATGAATATCAAACCACAAGCATTGGCAAATTAATCAAACAAATTAACAATTCCTGTATCGTAAGGATCTTCAACAACATCCAGAACTCCAATTTCAGGTTTTGAATAAACACCAAGAACTGTCTTACGGGTCGAGCTCACAGGTGCTGTATCGGGTATTTTGAACCATTCTTCTGTGGAAAGCTATTATAAATAAGATGTTAGAATTCTTCAACTTCGGATTTAAAAAAAAAAAATGCCAAACATATATAAACATACTCCTGTTATTCCTTCAAGGAATTCTTTCACTTTCTTTTTACGAGTTTTACTTTCGGATGCTCGACTTAAAGAAGTTTCAAAGTTCTACATAATATGGCGCTATTTAATAACATTAGTAATAAAAAAATGGACAAAAGTTCATATATTAATAACTACCTGTAACTGAACATGATCTACATTCAATAATTGCGCAAAGGTTTCATATGGAACAGATGACAATGGTCTCAAATCTACGTAAATATCCGTAATCAAAGAAATTAATGCATGATGGGACTCTTTATGATATCCATCATGTAAGGCCTGTTAAAAATACATTGAAAATAAATAGATTCCAACAAATTAATTCTAGATTCTAGGTACAATACACTCCCGTCTCAATAACACTTTAATTACTCTACAAATACACAATTATATCTAGTCCAAGAGGTGTGCACTTCTTATAGTTTTTTACATTTGATATTTATTACCTGTAGTGCTGCAGTTAATAAAGAAGTCCCGACAAATTCTCTCAATCTTTCATGTTCTATCAGATTCGGTAATATTCTAGCACATAATTGAGATGTTCGTGCACAAGATACTGTATCTTTGAAAGTCAAGAGATGGCATAAGCTCACCAAGAAAGATTCAGTAATTGGCTATTCGAAATATTAAATAATCTTAAACAATCTAGAATCAATAAAATAACATCAATGAAAATAAATAAAAAAAGTTTCATACCATATAATTTAGCATATATTCTTTTAGTGCAATGTTCTCTAATGTATTTGATGAGGTTTTATAGTTATCTATTAATAAAAAAAATTTTTTTTTTATCTAAGCAAGAAAATTGGAAAAATTATAAAACTGTTTATAAAATTCTCGATGATACCAGTTGCTTGTTTCTTAGATATCGGTGAAAAGATTTGATCAAATATATCAATGTAAGCCCTCGTCAAATATCTTAATACTTGTTCATTTAATATTTCATCTGATATATTATTGGTAGTATTCGAATTATTCTGCAATAATTGAATACTACATTTTTTGTTTTTTTTTTTAAAAAAAAAAACTTTAATATTTGAGGTAATTATTAAATTTCCGTTTGCCATCGTTATAAAAAGTATATACTTCTCCGGAATTGAGATCTGAATCCCTTTTTCAACTTGAATTTGCCATTCTGTGACCAATTTTTTGTCTAGATATTTTAATAATTGTGGAAAAAATCCCGAAAGGACTTCAGGTGTTTGACATTTAAGAATATAAGGCCTGACGACTATAGGTGCAAAAACAAATATTAAGGGTTAAGAATATATAACATATAGAATACTGTAAATGTAATAATAATTATTATTATATGTAAAGGATATTAAGTAGCATTTTCCAATGAAGATTATTAATACTTTCGACGTTTTCAAATAACGATTGCATAATAGATACATGAGCATTTGGAATGGAATAAAATGCTGGACCAAACATTGTTAATCGACCAAGAATACGATAGCTGGTTTAAAAAAATAAATAACAACACAAATAAGTTTTCATAAAATAATCATTAAAAATGATAATTATTTAATGCTAATACCTGTCAATCCTTAGATTAGATAACCACTTGTGCATCAGACCAATCATACCAGCTACTGTATAAGGATGTTCGTTATTGTTTGTTGATGGTGAATTTATTGCTTGCCCTTATATAAGATTCAAAATTAATTATCATTATTTAAAAAACTAATGGTGTTTTTTGGATCAATATATGATACTTAGTATAATATCTACCTACAATGCTTGCTTTGTCTTCTTTGCTTAATACCAACAACTCTCGTAATTCTTCTGGATACTCTCGCCATGATTCAATGTTCCATAGCTGGTGAATAATTCTATATATGAAATGACACAATTTTTAATTAAAAAAATTGTATATTTAATACTCTGATGCGTTAATTATATAATACCGTATAAGAGCTAATATTGCAGACAATATTGTAGGTATGTATTGCTCCCACAATTCTGAATATGTAGAGCTAGAAATTCCCTATTAAAAGTTAATAATGAATTTTATAATAATTGATGTTTTAAACTTATTTATTACCAAATTAAAATGTAATTTTTAAATATACCTTTGATGCACCTTCGGTTGTCTTTACTAAAAAGTTATTCATTGAGTCTACCAATAATGTCAGCTTTACAAAATTGAAAATATAGAGAGATTGAGTATAGAATTTTATATAAAATAATTTGGTGTTATAATAGCAACACATACGTTGTACCGTGCCGATTTATAACTTGCTACAGTTTCATGATGTTCTTTTGAAATTTCTGAATAGGTTTTATTGGTACCTTTTTGTTTCATATTAATTACTGGAAAAAAAATAATAAAAAAAGTTCTTAAACATAAAAATCATTGGAATATGAAAATTTGACAATATTCATGATGCATACTAATTGAGGACAAAAAATTTAAACCCATAGCATCACGAAATTGTGTTATGGAAGTAATAAAACAAGTTATCTCAGGAGAAAGCCATTTATTCATTATCGGTAACATTATTGAATTAAAGAGAGCCTTTTTTTGTTCTAACGGAATATTAGAGTAATATCTGAAAGAATATAATATATTAATAAAGAATAAATGTTTACTCACGTTTACTATAAAGAATTTATTTTATGTCTTATACTTACATAATGCAGAGTAAGAAAATTTTAAAAGAAGTTTTTTCTTTTCTCGTAACAATATTATTTTTACTATCAATAATGTTATTTACATAACTTGCAATATCATTATATATATTCTAATGGAAAAATCCACTTTAATTAAAAGGCTTAAACTCATCTCTTCATTAAAGGATGATATTAAAAATATAACTAACCATTAAAACATCAGGCATTGATGTTCCAAACTTTATCAATATTGCAATAGCTCCGGATCGTAATCGATGAATTTGTTGTGGAAGAGGGACGGTAGAAGGAAAGCCAGGGGGACGAAATATAGTAAACTGGAATATCTATAGATTAACGGATGAAAAGGTTTGTTACTTAAGACTTAAACATATAAATAATTAACGCAGAAAAGAATCACCATCACCTTTTGTAAAACTTGAAATAATAACGTCGAGTCCACATTTAGCATATCTACAAATGGTATCATAGAGGCCAAATATCTATTTGACATTATTACGTCCTATTTATCAAATTAAACCAGGTTCATAAAAATATATAATAAATTTTTTTGTTTATTGTATTAAAATAGTTGCTCACCGGATAATCAAGATTCAATAGCATTTGAAGCAAGTTATTCATTCCATTCATTATTTTAACATAATTTGCCTTTTTATGGATTGAAAAATTTTTTATATAAACTCTTTAAAGAAATTATAAAATTAATTATATAAAGTTAAATAGTTCATACATCCTGGTTTTCATGGGACTTGATCAATTTTCCGACCCCGATAACGATAGAATCCATCAACATCAGTTCTGCTTCAAATATGAAATAAGTTGAAGACTCTGGTTTACAGATGCCATCACCTAAAGATAAATGCATTACATATTCTGTAAACACGAATGAATAAATATAAGTATTAAAGAAAAAAATATATATATGATAACTTACTATCCAGATCTTCTTCACTCGGACTTATAATTAATGTTTTCTGAATTCTGTTCACCATCCAATTGAAAGATTCTATCGGCCGCATTTGAGTAATTAAAGTTATTGTTTCAACAAGTCTAGTACGAAATGTAAGAGCAAAAGCTTTATATTCATTGCTTGAATCAAAATCCATATCTATGTAATGCGTAGTCTGATTATCAGCATCTTCTTTTTGGAACAGCTTTGGAAATAAGTCAAAATATCAATTTTTAGCACCTAAGATCAGATACCAGTGTTCATAGAGTTCACATAATAAAAGTATATTTATATTTTTGCTTACTATTCTAAGTCTCTCAGCAAATAATTCCAAAAGCATTAATAATAACTGTTCTTGTTCTTTGAATGTCTAATTAAAGGTTGTGTTAAAGTATAGTTTTAGAGGCGAATAATGTTATAAAATAATAAGTGATAATTCACCTTGGAAACATGTGGATGTCGGATTGCTGATTGCCAGAACATTATTGCTATAGAAGCTATGAAATTTGACGGATGTTTTGAAATCTCATATACCAATTCCAAATACCTAATAAA